CATTAACCTGTTTTGTTGTTGCTGCTGTTGCTTTTCTGGATCCTGCAACTTTTTTTTTCCTTTCCGTATCTTAGAAACCTGATAAAGTGGAAGAAAAGCAAAATAATAGTCCATTCTCACTGCAAGTATGGAAAATGTGGAATGAAGGCAGAGTAGGAAGAATTGTCCCTGGAAAACTGGAGGATGCTTTGGGGGATCCTTCTGTTCTTGACTGTGTGCAATGCATTTCCTGTTGCAAAGCTGTATCCTGTCCTGCAATTCCAACTTCTCTCCTCTAAAAAAAAAACAAATTTTTTGCCTTTAAGTGTGTCAATCCTTATGTACATTTTCAGGAATATGTATAAGACTGTATTTGTTATGTTGGCCTTTCCTGCTTTGGGTTCTTCCACACCAACGTTTCTAACCACATAACAAATTCCTCCTGAATTATTTCCTTATAGTGACTTCACCCTAGTCAGGCTGAAAGTACTGAAAGTGTCATTTAATCATAGGATTCAACTTGGCAACTTCATGATTTTTCTTTTTAAAAAGATATTTCAGTTCTGATGAATATGATACATTAACTTTTTATACCGCTGTAGCACAAGTACCATAAATGCCGTGAGAAATCACACTGCTGAAAACAGCTCATGCATTTGTTTCTTTAAATAGGGGAGATGGCTGCTTTCAACTTTAGTTGGTTTCCTAAGAATCTTCCTTAGCTGATCGTGTTGAAATAGAACCCTTTTTGACGGCAGATTGGAAGGGAGGCAGTATAGGTGTCTGCACACTCCTGCTGCTTCAACTAAAATGATAAAAGCAGCATTGCTTATGGAACATTCTCCCTCCGGAGATCAGGATGGCCCCGACTCCGATGGCCTTTTGTAAGGCCTAAAGACCTGGTTCTTTGCCTGGGCCTGGGGCCTTGAGTGTGTGCAAGGAAGGGCCTGCTTCTTGGCTGTGTTAGTGATTTGGGTTGTTTGGGCTGCTGGTATTTTATAAAGTTTGTTACTATTTTTATTCTATTTTAATTCTGTTCGCCACCCAGAGTCACTTGTTGAGAGGAGCAGCCATAAATAAATAAGTACATAAGTAAGTGCCAGGTTCAGCCCAAAGAACTCCACGAGACAGTACAGGTCTAGTTGGATAGCTTTTATAAGCTTTCACCCACAAGACAGAATCTCGCCAGACTGAATCTAAACTTCCCAAGCCAGCAAGCAAACCCCACGAATTCCTTAGGGTGGTGCCAGTCTCATCCTCTTCACCTTCCCACACTTTTGCTGGGGGCTAAGGAAATGCTTATCTCCCTGAGCACGGCCTTCACCAAACCATTCCATCACAGTAAGTAAGCAAATAAGTATTGCACCATCAGCTCTGCCCTTTGGGATAAGCATGCAACATCACCTTTGTCCCACTCTCACCCACCTCTCCTGTGGACACTGCTGGGAAGGAGAAAGTTCCATCTAGACATGATGAACTGGGAGTAGCACTGACCCAGTTGCTTCTTCTTTAGCTGAGACTGCCTGAGCCATACTCCAAAAGGTATATGGAATGAAGACAAAGTCTAATTAAGTGGAGTTATCACTTAAATTTAATTAAAACCAAAGTAAGTAAATTACAATGAATATGACTATTTCCCATGTTATATTCTCAGGTGGTCCCCATCCTAAGGCTAATCTGGACTGATGGTGCTCAGCTTCTGAGATCATCCAGTGTTAGCTAGATGCTGTCACTTCATTAGGCAAAATAAGCTTATCCCAGTTAAACAACACCCCCCACCAAAAATTCTCCTACCAACCCTCAGTCCCCCTTAAGCATGTGCATAATGACTTTTTAATAGGATAGAAGGGGCTATGTTTCTAGAAGCAACTTTTTAAGATGTCCCAGGTTGTACGTACCTGAGTTTTCTAAGATTTCCAAAACAAGACTCTGTCTCTCCCAGCCTGGCACAGATCCTATTAGTAGTTCCAGCTGCTATAGATAATGAGTACTGGTTTCTTTACTTTTCATTTACACCTCATTCTACAAGATCAACAGACTTTTAGCCAAGCTCATTTTCACCCATCACTAATGCTGATATTTGATTAAATATTTGCACACTTTGAAATTTGCCATCCAAGGAGCAGTTTCTGCTCCATCATAGTTAGAGGCCAATATAATGTTTAGACTGCAAATCTATACAACCTTGCTTTGAAATAAGAGATTTCCTCACAGAGGCAGTCAAAAGTCATTGTACAGCTATTCAATCTTCTTCTACCTAAAATTATTTTGTGAGAAACATAGAAAAAGAAAAACCTCTGAATAGATTTGTAGAGAATTGTGGTCCTCCAAATGCTGCTGAACTACAACTCCCATCATTTGTTTGCTGGAGCTACTGTAATATCTGGACATTGACGAGTATTTTATTCAGTGTTACTAGATAAACAGGGAGCTCTCAGATTCTTTGGAGCATTTCTTTCTCAAACATGTGTTATATACCACACTGAGTCTTCTCTTTTTTGCTATCATTTTTGTTCAGCCTTTTCGCTCCATGCTATCAGCAATGCCTCTTACCTTGCTGGTCTTGAAGACAAGCAAGATCTCTATAACTGTATACTCCCTACCTTTTGTCCTTTCTCTCTGCTCTATTTTTGACAGAGTAGTTGCCTAAGCTTGTATTGTTAAAATGCATTGCATTAAACTGGATGGTGACATTCACAGACTTCTATTTCTCTTATTAAAATTATTGTTCTAATAAGTTTTAAAATTCTCATCTCCTCCAAAGGGAAAATAGTCTTTTACATTAAAATAGAAAATGTAATAATCTGTCCACTATTGGCTATATCCTGCTTTATCACACATTTCCATCTTTTCCAATTTAGGGTTGGGTTTTTTTTTTTTTTTTGGTAATCTAATGCAAATCTCAGAATCCTACTCTATTAATTTTCAGTGTGGCATACTTCAAGTGTGCATATGGGATTATAGCCATAAATTCTCACCTGGACTTTTAGTTTACATTCTGTTCTGTTTGAAGATCAACTTCAAAAGCTCCAAAAACCAGTTGTCTGCTTCTCACTGCCTTCTACTTACTCTTGGCAGAACTGAAAATAAAATTCAACCCAGAAAAAAAATCTAGGTTGTGATGTATCTGTCCTATGGGTTGGATGAGAAATATAAAAGAAATTAAAAAATACCTGTCTGGAACTTGATTGTCATCAAAGGTCTTGCAAAAATATAACTAGGTACATAAAGCATACTTTTTGGATTTTACCCAAAGCCAGACAATGGATGGAAATGAGGATCTGTAAGTTTTAACATATTGATTTAAAAGAAATGCCTTCTAGTCAATTTTTGACTCCTGGTGACTGCCTGGACAAGTCCCTGTAGTTTTCTTGGCAAGGTTTTTTGGAAGTGGTTTGCCATTGCCTCCTTTCTAGGGCTGAGAGAGAATGACTGGCCCAAGGTCCCCCAGCTGGCTTCATGCCTAAGGTGGGACTAGAATTCACAGTCTCCTGGTTTCTAGCCTGGTGCCTTAACCACTACACCAAACTGACTCTCATTTAAAAAAAAAAAAAATACCCAAAATTTAAGACCCCCCACATAAAGCTAAGGCAGGCAGGCAGGCAGGCGTGCGTGTATTCATTCTTATAAATATTAAAAAACTTTATTACATGATGAACAAGTCTTGGAAAGTGAAAACCGTCCTCTGCAATAGTGAATAATAAGAACTTCATATATATTCTTATACTCTGTCTTGGAACTACTGCACTAATCTTAAGAGCTGTGCTTCTGAATAGAGTTGTCACCTTGTCAGTAATGGAGGTCACGGAGGACATATGCCTTCAGTAACTTTCTACCTAATGACTGTTAGAACAGATTGGAGGTCAAACAGCTTAAAAAGAATCTTCCACACTGATGTCTGAATTGGCTCTTATTAGGCCCAAGCTTATCAGGGACAAAAATCTACTGTACAGAAACCCAGAAGTAGCACGTGACATTACTGATGACTCAGCACAAACTCTCTCATGAAAAACACAACATAAGGATACAGCGTAGCTCCAGTCAGGATGGTAGAATACGGCATACAAGGATGGGAACTTCATGAATACTTGAAGCTGCCACCAATGAATATTTTAAAAGGAAACAAATGAGGAAGAGAAGATGTCACTCTTAACCCACTTCCAAAACCCAGGCAAACTTCAAAGCTCTTTTGTTGCCCATCAAACCTTAATATTGGAGAATCCTGCATTTTCATTAGATGAATTTTTCTGATGACTTCTCCCTTAATTAACACTGGGATTAAAAAAAATGTTGTTGTAATTTGCACTAAGCTTGCTCTGATCAAGATGATTGTACATAACATCTCATTGCTGAGTTTTTCCAGTGTACATCTACTGAGCAGTGGGGGAGTGGAGCCACTGATCTGTTGACTAACACCACTCCATTTTCTTTCAGCACACAGGAAAACACTGACGAAAACACATAGAAGTTCAAAAACCTCATAAAGGAGATTATAGCAAGATTACATTTAGTCCACTTCAAATGGACAAAAAGAAAAATGCAAATGTTCTACAATAAAAAGGGTACGTGTCAAATTACATTATTAGTTAGGAAGAAGGGAACAAAGAGAAATATTATAAACTTCTAATTCCTAGAATCTCATTTTCAGAAAATATATGGCTGTGCATTATCTATGTGTGTGTGTATATATAGTGTGCGTATATACACACACATCCCCCCACATAAAAATACTTTGTTCACTGCCATGATATGTTGTTATGCGCATATGGAGATAATGCTGATAAAGACAAAATCGCTTTTCAACAGTGCTTTGCTGCATTCATAAGCATAATTTCTACAGTGGAAATAATGGGTGAAATCCTGCTTGTACAACATCATTTTCTGGGCTTATACACAAATGATGTTCATTAGTTCCATGTTAGTCATAGAAAAGAACAGATATAGGAATTAAAACAACAACAACACTGTGAAATTTTTGCAAATTTTAATCTTATAAAATAAGAATTTATTCAAATGGTTAATTTAAAATTGATGCTGTAATATATACTATAAGTAGAATCAATACTATTCTTAGATTATGCTGACAGGAGTTGTGCCACTAGAAAAACATACCCAATGGGTTCCAACTGCATACAAAGCATTTTGGGTGAAAATGCAATTTGGACAATTTTGATTAAATCGGCAAATTACTTCCTTGGGGACAATGTTGTAAATAGAACTGTATAATGCAACTTGCTTTATACATATTTAAAAATTGCTGTGATCTATTTTCTAGGTGACTATAACATAGGCAAAAATGCCAATACTTTTAATTGTCATTTTTCTTTTCTTTCCACAATGAATTTTATATGACAGAAAGGATAAATGAACCATTTGAAAGTTAAAATGTTAAAATTTATGCAGCCTATCTGAAAAACTAGCTCTACTAATGGCGAAGCACGTATGCAGAACAATGAAAAGACATGCAATTAAGTTGTTTTCTCTCCCATGGTTTCACTGTAATTACAGTTCATGCTTGAGAATGCACTAAGTTAAAAAAAAATTAAAACCAAAATGAGTAAACCAATTAATGAACACATTAATAAGATTCCTTATGAAATAACACAAACATTCGGTTTTCTGTAAATTACACATATTTTATGACTACATATGAATACATCAATTTAATCAGTGCCCAAAGTCATATTTTTAGCATTTTAGCCTCCAGATGAAAGGATGAAAAAAGGAAGAAGAAAAAAAAAAAAGAAAAAAATTGATTTCTCTTAATCTTTTCTAAGCAGCAGCTTATCTTCTATGCCAAGTACAATTCCACTGCATTTGAAACCATCTGCAAATTCAGTCCAGCATACTGATACATAAAACACTTGTTTGGCAACAACAGATGAAATCCCAGTGGGATTCTTTTAAGATAAACAGAAATGGCGGCATCAGCCTTTTGGCCTCGGTGGAGTGTTTGGAGCTTTGCGTTGACGAGCCACCAAACTTTTTTATTTTCATCACACATAATCTATTCAAACCAGTTTTCCTTCAGTAAAAAATGTATGGCATCATTATATCCATCTTGATATAGCGATTCCATTTTTTCCTGGCTTGGTGGAAATAGAGCCTGATGAAGCCTTACAAAGTTGGTGATGGACAACTGCACGCAAGAGGGGGGAAAGGCAAGATATTTTCTACTTAATTAATTCCATTTTGATATAATGTATCATTTCACATAGACTGTATGCTCATATTGCTAAGTCATAAAGTGCTTGATTTCTGTTAATCTATTCGGTGAAACTGGCCTGTATGGTATATAAACCATACATGTGAATATTGGAAGCTAGACGATTGGGGTTTATTTAATCAACCATGGTGAAGCAATCATGGCTTAGTGCATTGTGAGAACCTAGGGACTGCAAGGGTTCACAAAATGTATCCAATGTATAACACTTAAGTATAATTAAATTAATTATAACATTAATTAAATTAAAATGGGAAGCAAACTGGTATTTCCAATTCTAATTATTTTCCCTGTTCTAGAAAACTGAAACTGAAAAGAGACAGTCTGCAAGGGGCCAGTACTCTAAAATGTTTGAAAACAGCCAATCAGACCTTTTGCCCCATTTTGAAACATTTGAAGCATATTTTAAAGCATTCATTGGTATGTTAAACATATTAGTTTTGCACTTATTTTTACTTGATGTACTGCCAAGGGAAAATTGCACTACAATTACTACAAATTGCACTACAAAGTAGTTGACTGCCAAATTTTAGCAATTTCATCTTGGAGCATCGAGATCAAATCCACAAACCTGGCCTTTATGCCCCCCACCCCAAAGGCAATGGGCCAGTAGTAGTTTGTCTAATGTCTTATACTCTTAATTATCACTGCTATTTTTAATTAGGTATGACCAAATCACTAAGATTTAATTATTAATAAGTTTGAATTATGAAAACCTATCTTTGATCTCCTGAGTATGTACAGATCATTATAGATAAATAATCTTGTTTACCTTGAAGCCATTTTTATGCCAAAGTTTTGATCTTATTTCATCCAGTTTTGGTCAATAATAAAGTGTCAATTAGACTTCTTTCCCACTGCATTGTGGCTAATAATATAAATACCGTATTTTTCTGACTATAAGACGCCCCCATGTACAAGACGCCCCCCATTTTTCCAACCCA